GATTAACCAGACTGGTTCTAAACAGTCGGGCCTATTTTGCCATTTTCACAGCTACCATCTGTGAGGAAGCACAATAGAATAGAAAGTGTGTCTCTGGGCTGTGACAGTGCCAGGACAACCTGCTAAGACCATAGATAGTAACATAATGGAATGAGAGTTAAATTACAGTCCCAGTGACTCACCATGGGCTGCTGTGACAGCACCTGGCCAAGGGGACTCCTGAGAATCCAGGCTATATGCCACAGTCAACAGTCATGATGGGTGACAACTTACATGCACTCATGTAGGAAAACCTCTCACCAAAGGGCAGCAGGACTAACGAAAGCTGGGCTAGCTACAATCACAGTCTTATTTGCACATTTTGCTTGCTTATTGTTGAATCCAAGTCCTGTTAGCTGAGACCACCTAACCATTACAGGTAGGGGAGCTCCACCTGAGTCTGGGCACCAGTCCTGACACCCAGCAGAACAAGCCAAAAGCTGTTAGTCTGGACCTGGCCTTACTTGGCTGTGGGACTTGTTTACCTGAGCCCAAGTCTTTATCCTTTCTTTCTTTTCTTTTTTTTTCCTCTATGTGGGATGGACTCCCAGCTTCTGGGAATCCCCTTCAGAGACTGCTTCTGCTGCAGAGCTGTCTCAGGTGCAAAGAACTAAATTGTTCAAGGTCATACCTCTTAAACCAACTCACAGGGATAAAAAAACAGGCCATTATGGCCCAACTCAGGACAACTCTGAAAGTCATTCAAGTTCCAGAGCTCTCTATGGGCTAGAAGGCTATGTTTGAGTCTGCATTACATCTCAACTTGTCCTTTTGCCTATCCGCATGTCCTTCCTCTCTCTTCCACAGGCACTGATCCCAAGGACACTCCCAAGTAAACTTTTTTCTGCACACTAGACTCTATCTGCTTCCTGGAGAACCCAACCTGTGACAGGCCCTGACCCAGAGTATTTCAGGTAATTAGACACGAACACTGAAGCACACTTATATAGTTCAGGAGATACTATACTTTTCACTACTGATTCTACTGTATAAACTATGCAACATTATGCTCATCTTATTCAAATTAAACATTTTCATGTGGGCTTATAGGCCCACTGATAACATTCTCAACCTGTCTTTTCTTTATGAAACAGCAACAGACTTAGGAATATCAGAGTGCTGCAGACTCTGGAATCTAGTTAAGTCCTCATTATTGGTTAAGCCAATTAGGTACCATTTTATACTTATTTTCTTCTTTTCTTTAACTGGCTGAAAAGAAATGACCCTTTCCAAATGTCTTCCTCAGACTCAACCAGTTCGTGCTTGATCAGCAGAATTGATGAGAGAGCCTAAGAGTAAAGTTCTCACTGCAAATGACTAACAACTGGAAGAGCCTACTGCTGAAGCACAGACCCTTTTCAAGGTAACATTTCTGTTCTAACTCTTATCTTTATGGAGAAAATCACTGATTTTAGTCTTGGAAGCTGAATGTTAAATCTGACTTGAAGAAGTAAGACATCTCCATTTTATAAAAAAGAAAACAATAGCTAACATTTAAGCCCTTACTATGGAACAGGTATTGTGATAAGTGTCTTACATGTATAGAACTCGATCCTCACAACCACTCTGATGGAAGTACTACTCTTATCTCCATTTCTGAGATGGGAAAACCTTAAAGGTTGAGTAATTTGCACATACTCCACCCAGTTAGTCAATTATCAACTTCAGGATTTGAACTCAGATTTATGTTCCAGACTTTCTGCTCTACCTACCTCCTTAAAGCACCTTGAACTCCAAGGCTCATTCACTGTTCTAGTTGACAGAGTAGGTAAGAGATGAAATGAGGGAGGGGTGGTTAAAAGGAGAATGGCTTTCTGAGCTTCCAACACAGTTACTCCTCTCCCAGTATGGATGGAGGCCATTTTATGCGTTCTTAAATCAATATAATGGGTCATAAATTACATTCAAAAGAGAAATAAGAGGAAGAAGAGAGGGAAAAGAAAAGAAAGAGATAAAGAAAGGATGAGAGAAATGAAAAATCATACTGTACTACATGCAGTTAGAATAGTATAGTTTCATAAATGTTTTGTTCCACTATATATGTGCATGCTGGGTTTCTGTGAACAAATATCTTTCTTACTATGGGTTGTAGTACTAAAAAGATAATTAAATTTCATTCAAACTGAATCAAAATGAGGAAAATCAAAATTAAAGTAATAAGACATCATATATTTTTAGAGGCAAAAATGTGGAAATAAGTTGAATATCTATCAAACAGAAATAGGGGAATAAATTATTCTATATCCATACTACACTTTTTAAAGAATGGCTTAGGTCTATACATATTAGAGATATTTCCCATGATTTACTACTGAGTAAGAAAAAGACACTATAGATAAAATGCATGTGGTATTATTTATATCTTAGTACAATTGATGATGAAACTCCCAACATACATATAAACATCTGAGTGGTGGATAGGGTGGAAAGAAAAAGGAGAGAAGTAGAAAGTAAGGAAAAGAACAACAAAGGTAGTTGCTAACTAGTAAAAATAAGTACATGTACCATTTAGGATCCCATGGGAAATAGAGGACATACATGAACTGTGCAGTTGAGAAGAGTTAAATAAAATGACTGTCTACAAAACTGTTGGAAGTGTCTAAAGAAAGCAACAGGAGATCCTCCACCCTTCAGGGACTGTAGCAGCAGACTGTCATTATCACCAACTGTGGCTGAAGGGGCCACATAAGGGTAGTTATCAGAATTTGGAGTGGAAAGCTGTAAGTAGAGAATCTCCAGACAGGTGCTATGGACCTTAGTAGGAAGAGGAAGTCAATCTATTGTGACTGTCAGGGAGGGAAACAATTTCTTTCTCCTACCACCCTCCACTCTCCTGCTGTTGCATTCCAGCAGCCAACCCAACTGGAAGCAAGAGGATTCAAGCCCCTCTGATGCAGCCCACAAAGGTCAGCTGCCTGGGATTCAGAGTAAGAACAGAGGGGTTGGAAAAAAGTCCTAATGGGACAAATGAATGATATCTAAAACAGAATACTGTAACATTAAATGAAAGGTAGGATATAAACTCCATCTATCATTTTTATATGTAAAAATTAATTTACATAGATAAAAATTAAAAGGATACCAAATGACAGTATTAATTTTTTTGTAATGGTGTCTTGGATTTTAGTTAATTAAATCTAATATCTTTGATAATAATTATGAGGTCTGTTTGGAAAAAGTCCGGCCATTGTTAATATAACGAGAATGGTTTGTGCAACACTGATGTAACCTGGTAACCAAGGAGAGTGAACTGGAATGTGCATGTGCAAACAAAGACAACTTCATGTTACTAGTCAGTAGTAAATACTGTTGAGCTAGTGTGTGTACTGTGTAGCCATCAAGTTCAGAATAACTGAGTGATTGGAGCAACAAATCTGCATCAAATTTTACATTAACCTGAACATTATTCGCAAAAACTATTCAGATGATTCAAAAGGCTGCAGCTATGTGCAAGTGGTGATTGGCAGCTTCATCACAACAATGTTCCCACGCATGCATCAATCACATTTCGTGCAGTTTTTTGGCAAAACATCAAATCACCCAGGTGACTCAGCCCATCTACAGCCCAGATTCTGGCTTTTCCCAAAACTAAAATCACCTTTGACAGGGAATAGATTTCAGACCCTTGATGAGATTTAGGAAAATATCATAGGGCAGCTGATGGCAATTGGGAGAACTGTGTGAGGTTCAAAGGTGTCTACTGTGAAGAGGACTGAGGCATCATTGTCCTATATATAGTGTTTCTTGTATCTTCTCATATAAATGTCTCTATTTTTCATAGTACATGGTTGGATGCCTTCTGGACAGACCTTATATACTTGAAAGATTTTTTTTTTAATTTGCGGGCAAACAGATCTGAGTTAAATTTCTGACTCTATCAGACCCTTGCTGTTTCTGTAACTTCCTCATTTCTAAAATGGGAATGCTAAAATACCTACATCCTAGGATTGCTATGCCCAGCACAGGGTATAGAACCTACTCAGAGTGGATACTTAACCATGTTTCTCTGATAATAAAGTTTATAAATGAGCAAGTTAAGAAAGTGGTGGAGCCAGAATTCACCCCCAGTTCTGTTTGACTCCAAAGGCCACCACTGTCTCCCAATCATCTGGAAGCTCACTCCAAAGGCCACCACTGTCTCCCAATCATCTGGAAGCTCTAAGGCTGCCTGACACTGCAGAGTAGCTGCATGCCTGAGGGAACTCCCCAGGGGCACTAGACCAGCTCAGGCCAGAATGAGAGGGTCAGCAGAGATCAAGAGGAATAAATGCCTCCTTTCCGGGAGTATTAAACATGACATTTGCTTTATCAAGGGACTTTCCCAAGAAAATCAATTTCTGGAGCATGTTAAAATATAAACAACCCTCCACCCACCCACCCACTCCTTAAAGACAATTGGTCCAAAGAGATCTTAGAGAATTCAGACAATTCTACAATGTTGAGAACACCATCTGATCACATGAAGTTTGTTTTCCCTAACAAAGAATTTTTCTACTAAATTTTTGTTTTAAAATTGGCTCCACTGTGAAATGTGCACCCCCATACTGCAATGTTTGACCAAGGCAAACCTGTGTGACACAGCCACAGATACACTGGGGAATTAACATATTCACCATTTGAAATTTGCTCTTGTGGCTCATGATGATGTTACCAGAATCCCTTGATAACAGTGTCTTTATCTATTTATAACTGTAACCTATTATCCTATCTTCCATGTAATTAGATGTGACTGAGGTTAAAAAAATTCAGCTGCATAAGAAAAGCCATGCTCTTATAGAACAGATGTTCACTCAGCATGGAAAGTGAATTAGCTTTTAACACAAATACCCAGAAATACATAAGTGCTCTTTCCAAAAGCATTGATGTTAATACTTTACATGAAAAAATAAATTTAAGATAAATAATATTAAAAATGCAAGAAAGGTACCATAGCTGCTTTTTAAAATAGTTCTTAATTTTACCTCTTTCAAGGGTGATACTTTTATTAAGTCAGGCAACCGATTTGTTCTCCAGTTCAGGGCAGAAAAAAATGACACATAATCGATTTGTTTTTCACTGTCTTCAAACCTGAAAATATAATTATAGCATATGATTTGGTTCAATCTGCAGAATTCAGGACCAAAATGTCAATTTAAATGCTACCATGAAGATATAATATCAGGGATGTTTTAATATCTGGTATTTTCTTATTTATTATTAGTTGATTGCCTGTTTCCAACCCTTCAGAACATAAACTCTTTGTGAGCAGAGATCTCACACACCTAATTCACCAAAATATCCTCAGTACCTAAATTAATGCTCTTACTTAGAAAGTGTTCAATAAATATTTGTTGCACTTGCCACAGAAACAAATTAGTTTATTCAGTAATTAAGACTATTGCTGTATTTTGCTAATATTGTTTGAAGGTCTTTTTGGTTAAAAATGGTTGACAGTATATGACAGTAAAATAAAACATCCTTATAGTTCTTAAATTGCATGCCTTTTAAATGTTTAAGGCAAGCCTGGATTCATTTTGCATATTATATTTTTAGGAAAAAGAAAAGTCATCCTTATCATTTATTACAGTGGTTCCCAACATTTTTGGCACCAGGAACCAGTTTCGTGGAAGACAAGTTTTGCACAGATGGGCAGGGGGGAGTAATAGTTTCAGGGAGACTCAAGTACATAACATTCAAGCTCTCCTCCTACTGTGAGGTTCATTTCCTAACAGGCCCAGATTGGCACAAGTCTACAGCCTGGCCTGGAGGTCGATGATCCCTCATTTATTATGTAGCATTTAAAAGGGGTTATTTAGGTCCATATATCCTATCATAAAAATATGTTCATAATATGTTGTTGAGCAGAAATGAGGTTATAAAATAAAACAGCATGTAGAGTTATGATCTCACTTTAGGTTTATACTTATAAAAAGGCATTGAAAAAATCTAGTAAAACACATTGAAGTATTAAGAAATTATCTCTGACAAATAAGATTACAATTTTTGTTTTTACTTTAGACTTTCCTATATCATCTGAATGTTTTTAAATTTATAATAAAAAATTGACTTCCGCCAAGATGGAGGGGTAGGTGGAAACACTTTGCTTCCTCGCACAACCAAATCTAAAAACAACAAAGTCTTAACAATAATAAATGCAACCGAACCACAGAAAATTGAACAATACAGAGTACAAAAACAATGAACCACTCAGCTTAACCGGTGACAGGGGCGGAGTCAGCAGCAGAGCAGGTCGGGCAAAAAAGATCCCCCAACCAGGTGGCACACAGGCAGCTGAGGGTGCAGATCCCAGGTGCAGGGTAGCTACCGGCAAACCCTGGGAAGGCAAAGGGCAGCGGGCTGACCGAAATCACACATTTGCAGGCAGATGAACAGACGGGGGGGGGGGGGTTTGCAGCAAGCGGTGAGGCAGACCGAGTGGGAGGGAGTGGACAGGACCACTATTGCTCCCTGCCTGACCCCGCCCCCACATACAGCATCACAAACCAGCAACCTGGGTGGCCCCGCCCTGGTGAACAACTAAGGCGCCTCTCCTCAAACAAAACAGGTATGAACAGATAAAAACATAGCTCAAGAAGAACTCAGAGCCCCAGAGCCCATAAACCTAAGGGATCAAGAAATTGCCAACCTATCACAGGCACAATTCAAAACACTGGTGATCAGGACGCCCACAGAACTGGTTGATTGTAGCCACAAATTAGAGGAACATATGAAGGCTAAACTAATTGAAATGCATGGAAATGCACAGGAAAGCAATAGTGATGGAAAGGAAACTGGGAATCAAATCAAGGGAGTAGACCAGAAGGAAGGAAAAAATGACCAAACAGAAAGGAATGAAGAAACAAGAATTCAAAAAAATGAGGAGAGACTTAGGAACCTCCAGGACATCTTTAAATGCTCCAACATCCAAATTATAGGGGTACCAGAAGGGGAATAGGAACAGTCACGAGTGGAAACCTTATTTGAACGAATAATATAGGAGAACTTACCCATTCTGGCAGAGGAAATAGACTTCCAGGAAATCCAGGAAGCTCAGAGAGTCCCAAAGAAGTTGGACAAAGAAGGAACACACCAAGGCACATTATAATTACATTAGCCAAGATTAAAATGAAGGAGAGAATCCTAGAAACAGCAAGAGATAAGGGGACAGTCACCTACAAAGGAGTTCCCATCAGACTGTCAGCTGATTTCTCAAAAGAGACCTTACAGGCAAGAAGGGGCTGGAAAGAAGTATTCTAAGTCATGAAATCCAAAGACCTACATCCAAGATTGCTCTATCCAGCAAAACTTTCATTTAGAATGGAAGGACAGATAAAGTGCTTCTCAGATAAGATCAAATTCAAGGAGTTCATCATCACCAAGCCCTTATTATATGAAATGTTAAAGGGACTTACCTAAGAAAAAGAAGATAAAAAAGATGAACAGTGAAAGGACAGCAAACTCAGTTATTAACAACCACACCTACAACAAAAGCAAACTAAGAGGACAGCTAGATCAAGAGTGAACCATAGAAATGAAGATCATATGGAGGATTAGCAACAGGGGAGTGGAAGAAGGAGAAGGGGGGAGAAGGTACAGAAAATAAGTAGCACAGACTGTAGATGAAAAATAGACAGAGGGGAGGGTAAGAATAGTAGGGGAAATATAGAATCTAAGGAACTTGAGACATGTGGTCAGAAACTAAAGGGGGGAATGGTGGGGGAGGGGTGTGCAGGGTGGAGGGGAATGAAGGGGGAAATAGAACAAATGTAATGGCATAATCATTAAAATAAAAAATATTTTTAAAAATTATGTCTATTTTTTCTTTTTATTTATTTAATTATTGTTCAAATACAGTTTTCTGTTTTTTTATTCCCATCCCGGCCCACCTCCCCCAGTGCTCCCAACCTCCCTCCCATATCCACCCCCCTTCGTTGTTGTCCATGTGTCCTTTATACTAGTTCCTGTAAATCCTTCCCCCTTTTCCCCTGAAATTCCCTCCCCTCTCCCCTCTGGTCACTGTCCCCCTGTTCTCTATGTCAGTGTCTTTGTTTATTTTGCTTGCTTGTTTGTTTTGTTGTTTAGCTTCCTGTTAAAGGTGAGATCATATGTTATTTGTCTTTCACCGCCTGGCTTATTTCACTCGGCATAATGCTTTCCAGTTCCACCCAAGCTGTTGCAAAGGGTAGGAGCTCCTTCTTTCTTTCTGCTGCATAGAATTCCATTGTGTATATGTACCACAATTTTTTGATCCATTCATTTACTGATGGACAACTAGGTTTCTTCCAGCCCTTGGCTATTGTAAATTGTGCTGCTATGAACACTGGGGTGCATAGGTTCTTTTGGATTGGTATTTTAGGGTTCTTAGGATATAATACCAGCAGTGGAATTGCTGGTTCAAAAAGCAGGTCCATTTTTAGTATTTTTAGAAAATTCTATACTGTTTTCCACAGTCGTTGCACCAGTCTGCAATCCCACCAAAAATGGATTAGGGTCCCCTCTTTTCATTAAAAAATTATTATATTGTACCATAAAAGTACAGATCAAAAATAGTGACTATATTTGACTACTATTTCTTAATTATGGACACTGGCATGAATTCATCCTTAAGTTTTATCCATTAAGACCTAGTAATGTCAACACAATTGCTATAATGACCTAAACACAAAGTATTTCTTTGTGTTATACTTCAAATATCACTTATTCCAAATTTGACCACATTCTACCAATTTTTAAAGCTATATATGCCTGTGTAACACCATATTTTGAAGGAAAAGACAAATGTGGTCACTAATGCATTGTTCCATGTGCCCTGCCCCAGGCTTTTACCTTTCTCTCAGAATATCCAACTCAACATGCCCTCCCAAGCAGCAAGTGAGGTGCACAAGTTACTACTGAAAGGATGAACAAAGGATAATTATAAGAAAACTCAGTGATGATAAAAGTAGAAAAAACATACTTATAATTAGTCAAAAGTTTTCTCTTTTTTCTCAAAATATTAAAATAGTAGCTCATATTTATAAACTAATAAAAATTAGCAGCAATAAATGAAATGTTAAAAGATATCACATAGATTCATCATTCTAAACAAGATAGAATAAACAGAATGATCAGAAGAGGGGAAAGGGAATTTGGTAATACTTTTTGGGTACATTTTCTTTGGCCAAGGATTCTGGGACACAATTCCAATATGCTGCCCCCTACCACTGTCTATCCTGTGAATTTTGGCTCATTTCACTTTTCATTTGAACTCCTTGAAAGAACACGCTTTGTTTATGGAAATCTTTGTAGCCAAAATACAGGACCATTATGTCGTCTATTTTGGGTATGTTTTGGGAGAACTAAAACCCAATCAATTAATGATGTTTTGTAAGAAACCTTCCTTTGTTTGGAGCCTTTTAAGAAAAGTATGCCCTAATACTCTGATTAGGAGCTGAGGTCAGAGAATGAGATCATGAAAGACTTTCAACTTTCATACTGAGGAAAACTAAGAACCACTGGAGCACATTGTACAGAGCTGTAATGGGATCTAAGTTCTATTTTCTAAAGATCACTCTGGATGATATATTGAAAACAAAATGTAGGAGCAAGGCCAAAGTGGCATGAGCAATTAATATTCTTTTGCAGTAATACAGATGAGAGATAGTGACAGCTTAAATGATGCTGGTGGCAGCAGAGGGCAGTGAGAAGTATTCGATTTGGAATATATTTTGAGTGTAGGATTTCCTGAAAGATTTTACACAGTGTGTACAAGAGTGGCAGAGAATAGACTAAGGACAACTTCCAAGGGTTTTGCTTGAAGAACTGGAAAAAATAGAGCTGCCCTGAGATAGGAAAGACTGCAAGAGCTACAGATTGTGAAAAAAGATTAGAAGTTCATCTTCAGATAATGTTACGTTTTGATGGGAAGTGAGCAATTGGATATACGAGTCTGAAGTTGAGGGAGTGGGTTCAAGTTGAAGACAGAAATGTGGGAGTCATTAGCATACAGATGGTATTTAAAGCCACCAGACTGGGAGACTGGATGAGATCACAAATACAATATGCTTCTCTATCTGTTCTTACTGTACAGGATTTAATTATCAATAATT